CGACCCGGCTCAGTCGGGCGGTTCTGTTTCTTTCAGTCGACCCGGCTCAGCGAGGTGGTGGCCCAGCTGTCCGTCTCCCTGAAGGTTCCGCCCCATCGCCTCCAGCTGCTCAGGGAGGATCGGGAGCTGCCCTCAGAATCTACGGTGGCCCAGTTGGGTCTCAGCATCGCTGACATCATAGGTGAGTCCCCTGCAGGTTGGAGTCGGTCCTGGTTCTGATTGGTGTCCGCAGGCGGGTCCAGAGGTTCCCAGTATTAATCTGCTCTGTTTGTTGGTGAAATATTACCAGAACCCAAACTGGACCAGAACCGGTTCTGTTGGTCTGATGTAGACCAGAATCCAGACCAGCTGACCCTGTGCTTCCTGTGCAGATTGCCTGGTGACATCATCAGAGGATCCAGACGGCAGCAGCAGCGCAGTCAGAGTGAAGCTGCAGAGCAAAGACAGAGATTCCTCCCAGGAGTTCTCCATCCAGCGGGTCAGGAGCTGCTCCTCCTCCTCCATCGTCTCCGTCTCTACCTTCATGAGGAGTAACGCCTCTGTTCCTCCCCAGGAGGCGCCGCTGAGCTCCATCTTCTCCCAGTACCTGTCCGGCCTGCCTGCTGGCGCCGCCCGGAAGGTCCGGTTCCATTTCGACGGCTCCAAGGTGACGGGCAGCCAGACGGCGGCGCAGCTGGACCTGGAGGACGGAGACATCATTGAAGTGTGGACCTGAGAAGAAAGCCGCCGGGTCGGTTCTGATGAATAATGTTTGAATAAAACCGACCCGGCGACGGTTCTGCTTTTTATTTGATCAGAATGACTTCAGTTATTGGATCAGTTATTATTATGAATAAAGATTAGAGAAGAAAAAATGCTTCTGTGGAAAAGTTAGAAACCATCAGGGTCCGTCCCAATCCACCAGATTAGAGCTCCCGTTCCCACTTCCTGATCCCACTTCCCGATCCCACTTCCCAAACCAACTTCCCGATCCCACTTTCCGATCCCACTTCCCGTTCCCACTTTCCGATCCCACTTCCTGATCCCACTTCCCGATCCCACTTCCCCGATCCCACTTCCCGATCCCACTTCCCTGATCCCAGCATTCATTGCGAGACCAAGCAAGCCGTGATCAGAGGAAAGATTACTTGGCGCCGACCAGTGGTGAAAATTGGAAGTTCAGTTTAATATAATCCAGTCAGTGAATAGTTCCGTCTGAAATGAATGAAAATAGTTGTTTTAATGGTTATAGAGTCAGATGTGTGGCGGTAATGTTTAATTTATCTAAAGGTTTTATCTGTTACTGATTAAATGGGTTTGGCTGGAATTTAAGGACAGATTCTAATAGATCTGCAGTATTTTTTGTTGTTGAATATTAGAGATTTTGCAGAGATAATGTACATAAATAGTTTAGATTTACTTCTATCTTTCTACTCCTATCATTACATTTGCTTTGATCTCCCGGTGGTTGGCTCCTTTATTCCACTCTGGATTCTCCTTTATTCACTTTATCATAAAAAATTTAAAAGAAACAGTTTTGAAAAGTTCGGTATTCGTTCTTTTCCTGCTTTGTGTGTCAACTCACACGGTTGCTAGGCGACAGAGCGTGCAGCGGTGAAAGCTGCAGAAGGCTGGACCTGTTTGAACCTGCAGCCAAAACTTCCGGTTCCGGGTAGACCTGGTCCTTGGAGGATCCGGTCTGGGTAGACCTGGTCCTTGGAGGATCCGGTCTGGGTAGACCTGGTCCTTGGAGGATCCAGTCCGGGTAGACCGGGTCCTTGGAGGATCTGGTCCATGAATTTGAATTCAGCCCTTCTGTTAGTCTAGAAATCACTGAATAGCTTCGCTCCATAATATCACAGATTGGTTGGCAGGGGATCAGCAGCCAGACCTCTCAGGTCCACTGGATCAGAACCAAACATGGAGAACAGCTTCTAGTTTCAATAATCTGGAATAAACTCCCAAAAAACTGTTAAGATGCTTCAGGAACTTTTCCTCTTCTGTAATTTTCTGTTTTTCATGTTCAGCAGATTGTTACTAAAATTATCTTTTTCACCTAAACCGATATAAAAACAATAAATGCCAAATTTAATCAACTTTTTACTTTTTCTATTTTTGGGAGGTTGGATTTTTAATCTGTTAAACTGGCTTTGATTTCAGATCTACAGCACATAGAACCGGTGCGCCACCAAAGGAAGTCCTCCTCGGGTCACGTGACCCGCAGATGGCGTCATGTGACCTCAGAGCGGAAGTGGTTCCTCTGGATAATGGCGGCGGTGTAGAATCTGAAAACCTTCCTAATTTCTTTCTAATTCCGCTTTTCTCGGAGTCTGAAGGTTTTAGCTGCAAACTGACAGAATGACTTTAAATTAAATAGATTATTTTCAGCTGGAAGATTAAAAAGCGGCGCCTGGAGACCGAGAGAGGAGCCGTGATTCATCCTAGCAGGTAAACAACATCATCATCATCATGTGCTTCATCCCTGCTTCATGGGATCGATGCCGAATTTAGAGAAATGATGTAAAACATTATTAAACTGCTTTTAACTCAACAAAGATCCGCAGATCGGCCTCTGCGAGGAAAACCAAATAAAATGGTTGAACTTTGACCTTAGTCTGGTGCGTTCAAACTTCAGCTGAAGATCAGAAATGCTGGTTTTTCATTAGAAATCTTCTTTATTTATTCATTTCCGGGTAGAAAAATGATTCTTTTTTTTCGATCAAACCATCATTTGTTTGGCTGTGGATGAGTTTTCTTTATTTCCAACTTATTTATTCCACATTTATTAGAAATAAGGTTTAGATTGTGATTTGATTTTCCTGCTGTGGAGCAAACTTCAACCTATAAACCAGTTTAAAGGTTTTATCTCAGGTTCCAAACAGAAACATGTTTTTTTTTTAAACCAGTTCAACCTACTGGGATTCCTCCCAGTCTAACCAGTCAGCAGCTGCTTATCAACTCTCCAGCTCAGCTGATCCTCAGTCTGTGAGGGGGCGGGGCCAAGCCAGCTGACCAATCAGAAGGCAGAGCGCCACATTTCTAAGAGGAACAAAAAGTCATCTGACAGAAATAAAAGAGGAAAAAGGTCTGAATGAAAAGTTAAACATGATGGAAGCAGGAAAGGGCGGCGAGGGATTGCTGACTGCGTTAGTGAGCAACTTCCCTCTCAGAGTCTTTGAACGCAGCTCTTTCTGATCCCCCCCATTAGAAAAAAGCTTCTAAATGTTTATTTCCTGCTAGTTGTTTATTTCTAGCTTTATACATAAACTGAGCTGTTTGAAATTCTAAAACATCGGTTAGTTTGAGGTTAGTGTGATTCTAACCAGTCTGATCAACATTTTCTCTCATTTTCACAACAGTCACTGCGAGCTTTTATAGCTTTTATTTTATATTTCTACACAGTAACACCAGTAAGGTGATATAAGTGCAGAATATGAAGAACAGCATCATTTAGGAAATGTTTGTCTTTGCTGAGAATAGAAACACTTCTAGATAGTTTAGTTTAAATGTTTTTTTTTATGAGATCTCCAGCTGGTCCTATTATCTATCATTACTAGCAGGAACTTTATTACTTTCACTCTCTACTGTCACATTATCTATCAGGATACCAACATTTGTTCTACTTTCAGTTTCCAAACAACATAAACTTGGTTTTATCCAAATTTAATGATGGTTTGTTAATATCAAACCATATCTTAGGTCGACCTAACTCCAGGTTTAAATCAGTCATAAACTGATCTAAATGATCACCTGTATGAAACATGTTAGTATCGTCCGCAAACAAAACTAATGAAAGTATTTTAAAAACCTTGCAGATGTCATTAATATAAAAGATAAATAATTTTGGCCCTAATACTGCCCCCTGGGGGACACCGCGTGTCCAAGCATGATGCTTGGACAACTTTTAATCCAGAGTATTTCTACTCACCGGATCTCATAATGCTCCAATTTATTAATTCATATTTCCTTATTTATCGTGTCAAAACCTTTTTTGATGTCAATAAATAAACCGACTCTTATGATCTCAGGGATTTCTTCTATTAATTCAGTGACGGCCATTGCTGTAGATCTTTGGGATCTAAATCCGTCCTGACTTTAAGAGTCAGTTTATGTTTATTAATGAACGTATCTAATCTATCCACAAAGAATTTCTACAAAATGATGTAAAACTGTGGAAGTAGAGAAACGGGCCTATAATTTGGGAAATGGTGATTTTCCCCAGATTTATAAAGTCGAATCAATTTGACAATTTTTATCTTTTCTGGAAATTTACCCGAATGAAAAGACAGATTGCAGATTTAGGTCAGAGGCTGAATAATCATTTTCTTAAATCGGGATCGGGAAGTGGGATCTGAATTATTTTCTTAATTACTGTCCTATCGATGCCGTCGCAATCAGCTGATCTTGTTTTTACATGTATTGAGCAGATCTATAAAGTCTCTTTCTATCAGCACAGAAACATGGAAGAAAGATTTCTGCTCGTTAATGTTTCCCTCAGAGCTCCAGTTTTTTTCTGCCAGTTTGGGTCCCAGACTCACAAAATATTTATTGAAATTTGAAATAATGAACAACGTCGTTAATATCCTCAAAATTGTGTCGTTATTTTCAAAAAATGATTTAATACATTTTTAATATCGCTTTAATATTTTTGTCATTTCTATCTAATAATTTACTTTAATGTGTTTAGCGTTTCGTAGGATAGCAGCTAATTTATTTTTATATTTCCTATATTTATTCTCTACCTCCATAGATCTATGCCTTATGAAATCTCTATATAGTTTATTCTTTTTTGGAAACCCTTTGTGACCCGTGGAGCTTCTGAGTATTTGTTTCTATGACAGAATGTTTTTAATGGACAGTTTTTATCGTATAATACTTTAAAGATATTCAGAAAATGTTCATATTCTATATCAACATTATCTTTTTGTAAAACAGATTCCCAGTTTTGTTTCAATCAGTCCTCTTTGAAAGATTTGAGTGATTCCTCTTTTCTAACTCTTTTAAACTGTGGATTATTTTGATCCTTATTTTTTAACAAACTAATATGCTGAACTATTAATGCACTGAGCGTATTTTTATCTAAGCTATCTGTAAATCTATTATCTATAATGTGTTCAGTGGATCCTGCTGACTGCAGTGATTTAAGAAAAAAAGATTCAAACTGAACCTTTTATTAATGAACCTTTCAGCAGGTTTCTGGTTATCTAAGTGAAGTAGATCTATAATAAAGTCCCACAGATGAAGCAGAGCTTCTGAGATGTAACTGTTTGTTGTCTAAATATTTCCATATTGGAACCAGCAGCTCTGTAACACAACTAACATCACATTTTCTTTAATTCAATAAATATTTAAACTGTTAAACACTCAAACATTTAGTCAGTCTGGTCGTGTTTTCTACTATTTTCTACTTTTCGCAGTCATAAACAGTTTTCCTTCTCTAATGATGTAATTGAACACACCTGTGTGTGAACGGCCAGGTCGCATTTATACGACCTGAACGCCATTAATACCCGACAAAGGTCGCTATTCTGCGTCTTTCTACACAGAAGCGGGAAGAAAAACAACAACCATGGCGGACGATGATGCGGGGAGCAGCATTTATGTTTAAACATACTGAAAAGATGGAGTGTTTATGGTTGGGAAAGATCGCTAGATGCCTGCCGGCGCCACCATCCATGTTTACTTCCGTAAACACGCTGGCCTGTGACGTCATCGCGTCCTCTGCTGCGCATGCGGGACACTTGCGTTGTATGACTGCAGTTCACACAGGAGATCACATACATTTCGCATATATTTGGAAATTTGAACGGCAACGTAAAAAAAAATGAGATTTTGCAAAAAAATCGGAATTGAGCATCAAGGCCTGCAGGGAGAACGCAGCCTGAGTCATAGAAGAAGTTACCTGGTCACCGCTGTCTTCCATGTCTCTTTTAGAATCCGTGTAGCTGAATGTTTTCAGGTTATCGGCTCTAACAGGTGGAGGTGTTGCTGTTTTGGCCTGTTCATCCGTCACCTGTTCATTCGTCACCTGTTCATTCGTCACCTGTTCATCCATCACCTGTTGCTCCACCTGTTCCTCTGTGGACTTTGTCTCGTTGGGTGACAGGGCGCTGCCACCGTGCCGGCGTGAGGGCGGGGCTGATGATCTCATCATTCATTCTGGCGTTCTGCTCCAAGTCAGCCAGTCCGTCTTCCAAAGCTGCGATACGTTTGTCCTTTTCCTCAGTCAGAATCGTAAAGTCTTCACCTGTTCTTCCAGGTCCAGGATGGATTTTTGCTCCAGTCGAATGTCCGCGGTTTCTCCATTCGATCAATGCTCCAGACCCTTAATCTGGCGGACCAATCACAACGCAGAGATGTGTTTTAGAGGGCGGGACGACAAAGCTGCGCGACGCTGGAGAAGCACAGCAGTAGCATGATGCACTGCTCAAAGTTCTCTTTCTGTTCAATAAAAAAAAGTTTTTTAGATCTTTTGAGGCGAAAATATTATACTTTAAAGCGTCACTATATGGTCCATTTAGTGATTTAATGCATAATTAAAAAAAACAATTTCTGAAGTTGAGAGGACCGTGGCAACCAGCGGAGCTCCGAGGCTAATGTTAGCCAGGGCTAACGTTAGCCCGTCAGCAGCGGCGCTCTCTCTGCATGGCCATGTGTGAAGGACCGCTGGCTCTGATGGAAGTTTTTGGCTCAGCTTTGGAATCAGATCTGGAAGGATCAGACTTTGAAACGGTAGCAGGAAGAGGCTCTACGCTCATTCAGTTTTAAGAAGGACGTATTCGCCGTTTTACCAACAGGCTGTTTGTTTACATTCGTGCTTCCTACGTCACAGTCAGCGGCTCTCATTGGTCAGAGCGTTGGCCAATAGGAACAGACATGGTTTGAAAGACAACGGGTTGATCTGATCATCAATCTTCTGATGTCTCATTAATCTGGGCCAGACTAGATTACACGTTTAATCTCAAGTTTAATCTGGTTTATCGGGCTGGGAGGGAAATCCAACAGGGAGGAAAACACCGCCATCAACCCCAAGACGCCACTTTTGCGCCTTTGGTTTAACTTCCGGTTTGACTTTCATCGACATTTATCGATGGTTTTAATCAAGACTGATAGGATAACAGAATCTGTGATTATCTGTTTTCTGATCGTGGTGATGCTGACTGAGCAGGAACCAGGATTAACCTAGCCTAGCTGTTAGCCTGGCTGTTAGCCTAGGTTTTCTGATCGTGGTGATGCTGACTGAGCAGGAACCAGGATTAACCTAGCCTAGCTGTTAGCCTGGCTGTTAGCCTAGCTGTTAGCCTGGCTGTTAGCCTAGCTGTTAGCCTGGCTGTTAGCCTCACTGCTAGCCTAGCTGTTAGCCTGGCTGTTAGCCTAGCTGTTAGCCTCACTGCTAGCCTAGCTGTTAGCCTGGCTGTTAGCCTAGCTGTTAGC